AAAAGGACCAAAGAAGTGTGGACGAATATTTTCAACATCTCACTCTCACCGACTGTGGTGCCTTACGACCCACTCTGACAGTTATGAAATGCTTTGCTCTCATAAACACAAAAGTGGAAACTCCTATGTCAGGTTTTCAGGAATATCGGCAGACTGGTGTGGGAAACATAACCTCTGTATCAGTTGGACGTGGAACGTCAACACCTCCAGCATGATTAACCTTAAACCTAACCGTGAAGCCGTAAATGACAATGAAGAAACACTTACGCTATCTGGAGGGCTCGTGTCCCCAGCACTCTGGCCCTCTCGTATTTGGTCATGTACGGAGTTGTGATCCTCTTCTGGTTTGCCTGCTGGCCCTCTCCCGCGGGCAGGATCTGCACGTTCTCCTGGTCATCCTATTCACCAGAAAACAACCGACAATAAACATGATACAAAGGCAGCGACCAGTAGTGCTAAAATAAAACTGACGTCAAACAACAAAAGCAAAGGAGTGTCTGTGCTGTCCAGTTAAGAGAATCATCAACTTACGTCTTCCGCGTTTTCGAGATCATCTAATCCCTCATCCTCCTCGGCATCATCAAAATCTCCATCATCGAAGCTGCAAATTTGACACAAAGTTTTGTTTTTAAAAGACAATGAATAGATTCTAAAGACAGCAAATTGTCAATAAGTTTATACAGAGCACTTAGCAGTGTGGCTAACCGCGTTAGCTACAATGCTAGTTCGCGCCGAGTTATAATAAAGAAACAAGCATTTTAATATGAATTTCATCAAAGTGTCATCATTACTTACTTATCTTCGTTGTCGGACATGTTAACCTAAAATTTACGTAAAATATTACTCAAACCGTAGAAGAAAGTCAACACACTTTGTTGTTAACACGGACCCACATGAACGATACGAAGCTTAAACTTCCGGTGGTTTGGTGCGCTGGAAAATATTCCGGATGAAAAACAGGAAAAGGAACTTTCTTTCCACTTGTACTCCAGTACAATTACATTTATTTATTGTTTTTCAATCCCCAAAAAATAAACAACAAAAAAGTTGATTGTTGTAATTTAAATAAATAAATAAAATTCGCCATTTGTCGTACGAGCGGTATTTCTCTTTTTCTCTCTTTATTTTTTGCAGTCCTGTCAATGAGCCTGTAGCTTTTTATGACCCTTAATTTTACTGCGAAATAAAATACAACAGTATTAATACAGGAAAACATTCTTTTTGTTTGAAACTATGAGAAACAGATAATTTTCTTTGTTAACATAAATGCAGCTGCTGTCGTTCAGCACCACTGAACGACACAGGAAATCTTTCCTGCCTGTGGCCATCTCCCTGTACAACGCCTCCACTTAACACACTGGTTACTGCTACAACTACACGTTTCTTTTCCAGCTATTTATTTATGAGTGACTTATGTATGTATATATTGTACTATTCTTAGTTAGCATATTGTCTGTCTTGTCTTAATGTTGGTTTATAATGGAGCACAACAAAAAATAATTTCCCCCAGGGATCAATAAAGTATTCTGATTCTGATTCTGATTAAATGCAATTTAACCTGGGTTTCGTTTAGACTTGACAGCCAACACGTTTTTCTCCCTTTTTCATTAATTTTCAGACGTCAAACAAACTTTCAGAATAAGATCTACTAGAACCACAAATTAAGACTCATATTTTGAGTCACCAAGTATTTTCAGCCTCTGCTCTTTATTATTTTCCTTTTACTTAAAATCATAGTGAAGAAAAAAAAAACACTGCAAAATTGAGAATGAACATAATCCTACATTACTGGTGTGTTAACAGGTACATTGTGCGTGTATATTAAATATTTTTTGTCTGTTGTTTTGAATTCAAATGCACTACAGACAGTACTTAACACATGAGATTTATTGCACACTTAAAAAAACCCCACGAGTATGTGATCATACAATACCATAAAAAATAAGCTGTTGATAATTTTTAGAGTGAAAAAACACATTAATAATAATGCATATATCGTGCCAACTGAAAACAATACAAATTGTTTGGTGATGTTACTGAGCTGGGCTTTAACACATAATTAGTAAGCATGTACTTAATAAGTGCATATTTCATACTGTTCACACATGAACAATGAGAGCTTCTGACACTTCTTCAACTCTTTTTATCCACAGAGTTCTTCGTGCTTTCTTCTTTGTGGTTCAGGATTTTTAGTACTTTTGTAGGCTTGAAATCTTTTTTGGGCTTCCTTAGCTCTTTTAATCCTTCTTTCTGGAAGTCTGAGAAGAGACGAAAGAGCAGCAAAACAAACATTAAGCAGTGAGCAAACATTGACATAGAGCATTATTTGTGATCCAACGAATCAATTTCTTTCTGCCTTCGTCATACAGGCAAAACAGAAGATACAAAACAGTACCAAAGAGCTTTTATTAGAAGGTTCGTTATCTTACCTTTGTTCATTACATCTTCCCAAAGCACGTTATTTTCTCTCTCCCTAATCAGAAAAACAAAGTTGCACTCAGATAAAATGTACAAATGTAAAAGCATAATTGATTTTTTTTCCTTAAGTACCTCTGTCTGTCCTGATCCAGGCAGCTGATGATCTGGTTCCTCTGTTCAATGATGGTGACCAGCTCATCCATCAGCTTCTTCTCTTTATCTCGATCCTCCTGACTCCAGTTCTTGTCTGTGTGTGCAGATGATGACAATGAAAGTTCAACACAATGAGATTTCATTTAACAAATCAGCGATCTCCATTGGATTCCACTGATAGGATAGCAACAATATTCTTATAGAAACATTAATTCATTTCAGTGCCTTTTAAGAGTCAACTCAGAGCCTTCTTGTAGTGTTTCTTGTTCTTGTTGCACCATTTAGAATCAAAAAGCATGTCAGGATCCAGTGTTACTTACCAGTCTGTGAATGGCAAAAGTATGTGACCCTCTAAGATTAACTGGTAATTCAAATATGTGATTAGAAACAAGTGTTTTCAGTGACAGACGTAACAGTCAAGTGTGAGCTGGTGTTTCTGTTTCTCATCAGGCTTGAAATGTTCACAAAACCATCTCTAAACTGTTTGGACTTCCACCAGTCTAGACTTACAGTAGCGAGTTTTCAAATGGAGGAAATGCTGGAGCATTGTTACCCTCCACAGCAGTGGGTGTGTTGTAGCGCGGGAGGCCACAGAGGAACGAAGGTTAGTGAAATCTCAGACTCTGTTCCCTCACAGTGGCCAAAACTAGATCACTTTCCCAAACAAATAAATGACCAAGTCTATTACTATGTCACGTTTGTTTAACTGGGTCTTCTTTCCTTCTTTTAGGATCATCATCTATTCTTCTTTCCAGCTGCTCCCTTTAGCACCGCAGTGTCTCATCTGCCTCATTAACACTCTGCATTTCTTCCTTCACTACACCCATGAATTTCGTCTGTGGTCTTCTTCTTAGACCATCAGTCTTTGTCCTCTCTGTGGAAAAACAAAGTGCTCCTCAACACCACAAAAACTAAGGAAATAATGGACTTCTGGAGAAACAGACCCTTAGCCTATCACATCAGCAGGGACTGTGTAGTGACTGAAGTTTCTGCGCCTGCATCTGGATGATGATTTAAGCTGGAAAACCTACACAACTGTGCTGATCAAGACGGCACAGTGGCGACTTCACTCCCTGAGGTTTCCTGAAAAACAATTCCCTAGCCAAGGAGCTCAAAGTGTACAGGCGGAACTGTTTCCCGGTGTGGTTTGCAAGCTGCGCTGCTCAGGAAACACTCCAGAGGGTCATCAGCGCAGCACGGAAAATCACCGGCTGTGCTCCTCTCTCTAGGACCTCTACAGGTCCTGGTGCCACAGTAAAGCCCACAGTATCCTGATGGGCACATCACACATCCTGGCTGTTACCCTCAGGGAGGCGGTGCAGTTGGAACAAGGCAAACAGACTTGAAAAACAGCACATCTCCCAGAACTAATAAATGAACACTGAAGAGTTTGCCTCCTTTCACTAACCCGTGCAACCAGTATTCACAGCTGTGAACAACAGTGCAATAATAATGACACACACAGACATACATACACATTCAAACACACACTGATTGAGATAGTTAGGTTGCCTTCTGTGCACTAAATAGGACTGCATACAATTTCACTGTACTTTTCTTACATGATCATAAAGATTCTACACGTCTAACCCCTCTAACTATGTCTCTGAACCGTGTCGCAGCAGGTCTCGGCTTGTAAACATTCCTTTTCACCCTTTCAGCCATGCTGTGACAAATCACCCCTGACACGCAAAAGTCTGATGGCAGTTATGTCAACTTTCTGCTAAAGACCTTTCATCACGCCTACAGAACCTTGGATAAAAGAATATTGATCCCTGAATTATTTACAGATCAGTAATTCCCGTTAATGTCAAATACAGTGGGTGATAAAAGTGACTGAACAATGCACAGAGCTACATACTAACCCGGTTTATTAAAGAGACACCGGAGGTCGTACTCCACGTCGGTCTGCCTGTCCTCCAGCTTTTTCTGCTTTGTCCTGAGAAATAAAAATTACACCTGTGTTTACGATGCTCAGAAAACACGGAAAAAAAGAAAAGCCGCACAAGTGAAAAAACGCTTACAGATGAACCAGCTCCGTGTCGTGGCACATCAGAACATGCCGCTCGTGGATAAGACAGAACCACTCCATTAGCATTTGTTCCTCCTGTTTATCTGAAATAAAAAAAGCAGGAAGTGTCAATTTAATTGTATTTACACAAAGCGGCTTCACAATATTGAGAATTTTGTGCCAATAAATTATTTTATTTAGTACGAACCATTTTTGCAGCCTCTCAGGTTCCTCTCCAGTTCCACTCCTTTTCCCTCCAGTGTCTCCAGATGTTGATCCACTTCTCTCATCTGCACCTGCAGCTCTTCTGGGGAAGCGCACTGATCTGTCTGCACCTGTCATCACACACACAAAAAAGTGACTAAATCTTGTTATTCTGGGTAAACTACTCAGTTTGCTCAAAACGTCTCATCTTAATGATGAGTCTGCATCTACATGACACAAAGGCACATCTAGAAATGACTTAGAATTAGATTTTGTGGCCTTTGAGTTTGTTTTAAATCCAGCTGTTGTACCTTTCTCTTGATGAGTGGGAATCCATGGCCAGGTGCGGGGCCCCGACAAGGCGAGAGGTCCTGAACGGTATTTGATTTGGATAATGTGGGTCTTTGAGCCTTAGGATCGTTTTCACAGGAAGGCTGAAAATAAAAAATATATATAATATGGAAAACTGTAAGAAACGGCATACGAGATTGTCCTCTGGTAGAACGTGAAACGTGCATTAATGTTTGGCCTTTATTGGTTAACTCTGATCTCTTGTCGTACCTTACTTCGCCACGATGTGGCAGCTTCATCCGTCTGTGTTTCACCGACAGGTGCAGAACGAGGGTCAGACGCAATGGCTGGCACAGAAAGACTTCTGGGTAAAATGCGACTCTGTCTTGATGCAGGAATGGGACGCGGACCTGCTGCTTCTGTCACATCTGACGGAGCAATCTGACCGCTATCTCCACCTCTTTCACCACAAGGTCTCTCTGTGTTAGTATCTGCAGTCAATTCTTTTACTGGGTCAGGTTCTGCAACGTCAACACGCCCTCTGAGATCTGGGCTCTTCTGTGGGAGAGCTTTTTTTTCTTCAGCCTCCTGCGATGCCAAGGTGCTGCACTCTGATTGGGTAGCTCCCAAAAAAGGCTTATTTTGGTCTTCAGATTCAGATTTAGCAACCTCGCTTTGAGAGTCGTCCTCCTGCACATCTTCAAAAGGATTTGGAGCTGGAACTTTGGGTCTTTTGGACGATCCATCTAAGTTAGAAGCAGATTTGGATCGAAAAGTGGGAAGTGGAGGTGGAGCTGGAGGCAGCTGTGTCCAAGGTCCCGGATGCACGAGGGCCATCCATGGATGGCTGCTTTTCATTTTAGATCTAGCGCTGACTGGGCTGGTGCTATAGAGTATTGGAATATAAAAACACATTGAAGAAAGTCAGTTATTAAGACCTTATCTCTTGTTCTATTTTATGAATGGGCATTTTCTTTTATTTATTTGAATTCCACCACAGAAACTTTGCACCTATATTTCAAAACACACGATGTGCTGTTAAGTCTGTTGACTTTGGCCACAAAGGGAAGAAAACATCTGATTTAAATTTGGCCCATCTCCCCTTCAAGGTCATCTGTTCAAGCCTCTCTATTGTAGTTGTTTTTAGATCCTAAGCCAAGAGTGTCTGTGATGTCAGAACATACCTCAAACCCGTGTAGAGCCGGAACATCAACGTTTTTGTGAGACTGACACGTTTCAGACGGATTTGTGCATTGAGAATTTGTAACCCAGGATCAAATCCAGGTCAGTGCAAACTTTTACTAATGTGGCCACACTAACGCTCACTGCTCGCTCAATTTAGCCTCCTGGAACTTCCTCTTCTTTCCCAAAATGCTAAAGAGCTCCAAGGTAAGAACCTTGAAAAGCACCCTGGCCAATATTAAATCAGGTCTGGGTTCATATTTTTATTGGCAAATGTGACAATTCGTTTTTCAGCATTTAATAAATAATTAGATACAAATCAGAAAAGATGCATAAGAAAAGACAAGTGCGTGCCAAAAGGAAGCGATGAACAGGTTGTTTTTGTCACACTTACCCTTGAGGCGGACTGGCTGCACATTTGCTTGGACTGGATAAACCACCTGCAGAGAGAAAGAGTGAGGAAAACAAAACACACAATCATTATGTCTTAACAGAGAAACAGATGTATGACCAGAATACACGCAGAAAGCAGGAATGTAATAATTACGACTGAACAGCTACAAGAAAACAAGTGTGCCCGTTTACCTGCAGCAGGGGAGCTATTTACAGTCTGTGAACTTCTGATCCTGGCTGCAGGAACAGGGCCTACAGAAATCCGCCTTGGTGCTGGAACAGGACGAGTCCTTCCATCTATCCTTTCTGTCCCGCCTGTTTCTGCTGTCTTGCAACTCAGTGTGTCCTGTGACTCTGTTTTCTTTGTGTAGTTAGGGACGCTGGTGATAGGCTGTCCACCCAGAGAATAACAAACTGTCTGAAGTTTACTTTGAGATCCAGTTTGCCTGCTGACGTCGACGTGAGTACCTTTACTGTTTGTCGCATGGTAAGCGCAGATCAAGGAGCCAGCGTCACTTCCCTGCGTGTAAGACTGTGGTAAAAGAGTTGCGTGGCACACTTTGCACCTGAAATACAAAAGAGAAATCTAAATCTACCAGATCTACTGAATCAAGAGTGTCAAATATGATCAGATATTACTGTATTACAGTACTTTTCAGAAGAATTGAGCCTGATCTCATTTCTTCATATTTTGCTAGGAAAGTGGGAAACAGGCAGTGAGATTTATTGGAACGTGCAAACAGGAATAGTGCTCCAGGCTTTCTCAAGGACATTCAAAGCTCTTCTTTTGTTCAGTTCTCTGTCAAGATGATCCTGCACTGCTTCAATAATGTTGAGGTCCAGGCTCTGGGAGGCCAATCCATGACTGTTAGTGTTCTATTGTTTGTTTTTCTATCCTTCCTTAAGAATGGCTTTTTGACAGATACTCGTCCACCGAGACCATTTGTAATGAAGCTTTACGGAGCATTAGATGGAGCAACTGAAGGTCCAAAAGTATGTCTCAGATCCTGTTTCAGGTGGATGGATTTTTTCCCCATTTCTGAAGTCCATGGCTTTTAGATACTTTTCGTACTGTAGATAGTTTATTGGGTCTTTAATGTATTTTTTATGTCACACACCTGTCCAGTTTCCTCAAACCTACTGCACACCATGCCGAGATATGTCTAGTTTTCAACTAATAACTCTTTCTAAACTGTGCAAAAATACTATTTCATGCCTGCAAACTTTTCTATCTCTGGCATTTTGTTGTTGTTGGTAGATTCAGCTAAATAAATGGGAAATAATGACGTACCTTTGCCACAGGATGCTAGTAACAAAGTGCCTAAATATACAATTTAAAACTGGTTCTTCACCAAGTAGTGTGTGATGTGCAAACACACCACTGTTGTTTCATCCGTTAATTTGGTTGGAGTTTTTATGCTGGAATGACTCATAGGCCAGTGTTGAGCAGTTTAACCATGAAATTAAAAAAACAAAAAAGAAAAACAGCTACAAGGACTTTACTAAAAATGAGCGAAAAAGCAGCCAATGACCAAAGAAACTCTGAAAAACTATTGCTCAAGACCACTTTTAAAAAGTGACAAGAAATTCTGGCTCAATGGAAACAAAATATAAAGAAATCTCGAGGTGGCTTAACACTTTTGCACAGCATTGTGACCTTCTGTTACCTGAAACAGCTGCGGTGGTAAACTTTTCCATCTATTAAATGCCTCTGTATTAGGTGCACGGGCTTCAAACACAAACTGCACACAGTCTGCGGCCTCGCATCAGAAACATTTTCCTCTCGACTGGTTTTGCTGTCAGTCAAGCTCTGAAAACAGAAGAGAAACCAGTCGCTCAAGTGACAACCACAGAGATGACTAAATCAGAACCAAAATAGCCTGTGAACATTCACCTTCATGCTCTTTGGATGATGGTAAGTTTTGCTCTTCGAGAGGCTGTGTGAGGAAGTGCCGTGCGATGACCACAATTTGGCAGGACCTGCTGTAAAGTCAAGATAAGACACGCAAATCACCGTGCATGCACTGTTTCTTTGAGGACGGGCCAGTCTGATTTCATTCACCTGACCTGAAGAGTGAGGGATAACACTGCATCCAAAATATTAATTCAACTGTATATGTTTGAGCAGGACAGCAAACCTCAGCCTGAAAATTTATGCTAGCATCTATAAAAACAACAACATAAAATTAAGGGCTACAACAGGCAGATGATCTTAAACGCACCCGAAGACTTCCCATTGAAGAAGCAGTAGTACTGAGCAAGGTAGGAGATGACGCTTAAACGATCGGGCGCCTTGGTGGAAATCATATCCTTCGGATGCAGGAAGGCAGGGATACCCAGCTTTGTTTCTGCTATCTCAAACGCCTGCAGGCCCACAGGCGAGAAACAGGGAATGAAAGTGAATAAACCGAAACAAAGATGCGGGATGCTTTCGTTCTTGTTTCCAATCAGAAACTCACCAGCTTGTTATTTTCATAAGCATTATCTTTGGACAGGGACCTGAAGTCTCTGGAGTAAAGTGAAGAAATGGAGAGATTCAATTAAAAAACAAAAAACAAAACAATAAATGAGCGACAAAGTTGATGATTAACTACATAATGAACTTTTCTAAATAAAATAGAAGCAAAAAGCATTAAAAGATCAGAGATGAGATGATTCCAGAGGAGTGGTTCAGTGTCAAATAAACCAAATTAACCGATTTCAGGCCAATGAGACTGGACAAAAAAAGGGTTAAGAGATGCAGATTAGCAAAATGACAGCAGATTAACCAAAGTGCACACGAGCCCCTCTGTTTCTGATTAAACAGAAACAGATAGGGGTAAACTGGAGTTAGAAAGTCAGAAGCAAGGCACAATTCACTCCGCACAGCCATGACAGCTCTGTTAACATATGGCATTACTCACATGAGGTCAGGGCGGTGTTTGTGGATGATAGCACAGAACGCAAGTCCATCTGTGAATGAGGTTGACATGTTAGTTATTTCCACGTCGGGATAAGTGGCGCATGTGACGCGGCACCACTCCAGCAAAACTCTCGGTGATGCCATTTCTCGTGCAACTTTTCACAAGTGGGCAGGGAGCAGAACATGGCACCGTGTCAGAGTCGGAGAGATCAGATACAAGTGGTGCAGGTCTGGCTTTTTTTTCGGAGGAAACAGGAAGCAAAGCATCTACCTTTGCAACTATTTCTCTGCGGCCAGACTTGCACGTCGTGGTGGCGAAGCAGCAAGAGCAGGAAGGAAGGAAGTTTATGTTTCCCCCCCCTTTCGTGTTGTTTTTGTCAAATATAAACAAAGGCAAGTAAAGCGACCGCGCATTGCTCCAGCGTTTCAAACCACGACCACAAGTCTCCTACTCGTTTCAGCTCGATGCTATTTCCTCCACCGCAAAGATGCACCGAGCCCCTGAAGTGAAGCGAACTGTTAGAGAAACACTGCCAGACCTCTGGTCTGTTACACGGGGCTGATATTTTAAACTTAGTCCCGTTATTAGCTCTGCAGTTGTGCTCCACAATCTATGAAATGCCTAATAGCTGCCACTGGAGGGAGACACAGAGCTGTTCTGGCCGCCTCTCTATAATTATTAAGAAAAGGTTTGTAATTAGAAGTTTATTGTCCGGGTGCAAACTTGACAGACCGATTCAAAACTGGCCGTGCCTTCTTTTTTCTTATTTCAATCCATTTTTACTACTTTCCCCGCCCCAATTTTTTATGGAAGAGAAGCTTTCCTTAGTCTCGGACCACAAATAGATACTCAGTTACATGAGTTGGTATTGTTGAAAAAAAGAAAGCAAGAGGAAAAAAGTGTGTAAACCTAACGTAAATAAATAAATAAACATCTAAGTGAAATGTTAGGCTTATTTTTTTTTAATGCTTTGGTTTGAGGGAACGCAACTTCCGGTATGTTCTACACACGAGCTCTTTGTCCTATGGAAATTACTTTACTAGAAAGGTTATTCGTATTCAAATTATAAAAAATATTTTAAAATACTGTGATACAATCTATTATGCAAATAGACTAATTTCATTCAGAAATAAAGTGAAAATTTTAATTTATTGTGTTTTAACGAACGTTTTGATGTGAAATAGAGCAATATTTTAATATATGAATTATTTGATATAGTCAGAATTATGTATTGCATACCACATACCAAATATTATTAATTTTACTTACTTACTTACTTTATATATGTATATATATATATATATATATATATATATATATATATATATATATATATATATATATATATATATATATATAATGTAATACAGATGAGATAGATCCTTTACTTGATGTATTACAAATATCGTAGTGCTTTTTATGTCATTCAACTCTGTTTTCTACGTGTCCATCCACTTCTCGCGAGATCGAGGCACCATATAAATCTCGCAGTTATGGCTGCGCCTCCCGATGCAGAGAGTTTGGAGTCACGTATCAGTGAGTGTTTTAAACTTATTCTCCTGCGCCCGTGTTGTCCGGGGACCCCGACCCCGACACTGACAAGTTACTATCCGTGAGTTGTTGTAGATGAGATGAAAGCTCACCGTAGCTGCGTTTGTCCCGTTAGAGGGGACTCGGACCCCGCCGTAACACCCAGGATGCTAACCTAGCCGCGGAGCTCTACCTTCCAGCTGTCAACACAGCACAGACATGCTGGCTTTGGTTTTACGGCTCTATAGCTAAACCGGGATGCTGGGGGCAAGATCGTGGGACCCAGAATTTGCATTCACATAGGATAGACTGTGATTAAAGCAAACCTGTGACTTCGTGGAAAAGCTCGAGAAGACACTGTGACACGACTGTGACTGTCGACAGCAAGCTAGCTAACCTTACACTCAGTTAGCACCTGTCCCATGTAGTCTGCTTGATGACATGCTGGGATACACTTCTAGCCTGCTTAGTCCAAGTTTTGTAAATTATATTTCGACAAGACAACCTTATGTTTAGTGAAAGACCTCATGCACTCCGTGGCCAGTATGTTAAATATTTGTAGTTTTTTTATGAACATAGCATAAACGTCCAAAAATGATTAATAAAGGTTGTAATGTTTACTTAAACTGCCACAGAGAAGCGTTTTAGAGGCATTTTGGCGGCTATATTTAGGCTGTATCGCTGTGCTTATATTTCATTAGTTTTATATGGGTGTAATTAACTGAAGGAAGATACTAGGACATTATAACAACTCGCAGTAACCAAATCCGAAAACATAAGCATTTAAGCATAAAAAATAATAAGATTCGGAAAGGTTGGTAACATTTATACATTTTTATGTGATATCCCATTTCAGACAGAGCCACAAATCCACTAAACAGAGACACAGACTGGAGTAGCATCCATGCCTTCTGTGACCAGCTCAACAATGAGTTGGAGGGGTAAGGGTCAAGACATTATTTACACATCATTACATAATTATAGTCTTACTGAGCCTTGTGATCATGTCTTCAGAGATATATTCATCTTTTCTACAAAGGGACAGTTTTTCTTCTACAACACTGGTAACTGTAGCTATATCAACACATATATTATGACAATTTCTAGTTGTTTTTGAAAATGGCAAGGGTAATAGAAATTGAGCACAGATTTTTTTGTTGTTGTTGTTTTTGTTTGTTTAGGAAAGAGCTTTTGTCAGCAGTCATTTTAGAATTTTGAATAATTTTATGCATCATTTATTTTAAATAAACCACCCCCAAAAATGTGACATGTTCATAGACCGCAGCTGGCCACCAGGCTCCTGGCCCACAAGATCCAGTCTCCACAAGAGTGGGAGGCCATGCAGGCATTACTTGTAAGTTCAGATCAGAATCAGGATCTGTTCAGTTATTTTCAGATGCTTTAGTTTCAGCTTTTGCCATTTTTAGATTTTTTTTTTCCCTACCCTTCAATTTCAAGGTTCTGGAGACTTGTATGAAAAACTGCGGGAAAAGGTTTCACAGTGAAGTGGGCAAATTCCGTTTTCTCAATGAACTCATCAAAGTTGTTTCTCCCAAGGTAGGACTTTAGGTCTCTTTGTGTCTGTGCCTCTTTGATACATGTCTTTTTTCCCTTCTCTCTTGTTGTTGAGCTTTTTGTGCAAATGACCTGGGTTTCATCTCCAATTTAGTACCTTGGAACACGGTCCCCTGAGCCAGTTAAGATAAAAGTTTTGGAGTTGATCTATAGCTGGACTTTGGCGTTACCAGATGAAGCCAAGATTTCAGACGCTTATCAAATGCTGAAAAAACAAGGTAAGAGTCGATCTGTCATTTGATGAATCCTGTCAAAACCCATTTTTAAAGCGTAATTATGCTGAACTTGAAGATGAAGATGCTGTAATAGAGTTGAACATTTGGAGCTGAAAATTAAAGTAATAGGCCCACGTGGATAAAATGCCTTACGTTGTAACAGATGAGGTAAATCAACTAATGAAAATGATTAGACACATTTAAATAACTCAACACCTTCATGTTCTCTGCTTGTTAATCAGGTATTGTTAAACAAGATCCTGAGCTGCCACCTGACAAGCTACTCAACCTTCCTCCACCCAGACCCAAGAATGCTATTTTTGAAGATGAAGAGAAATCCAAAGTAAGGACTTTCGTACTAAAATATATGAACGAGTTATGTAGATGTGATGAACTAGCATCTGATGTTCTTCCTCATGTGAACTCTGACTTTCTACTTTGTCAGATGTTGTCTCGCCTATTGAACAGCTCGCACCCCGAAGACCTCAAAGCCGCCAACAAACTCATTAAGGAAATGGTCCAAGAGGTAAACACTCTTTCCTTTTCCTTCCTATTTTCTTCACCACATTCATTCGGTGCAGCGATGTGTGATTTTTAGGAACAGGAGTAAAATGGTGCACTCAGAGCGGAGCAATAACTGAAAGAGGAAATTGGGAAATTGCCCTGTGGGTGTTTCCGTCTTTTGTACTCATTTCATGTCTAACAGGAATTAGTCTTTGCTCTCATCCATGAACCTGAACTGATTTCTCCCTGACCTTGCTGCGCTCTTGCTTTACTGCCTCTGGCTGTGTTTGTTGTGTTACAGGTCACCACAGTTTGGTCTGTTCATGACTGTTTCCTACATGTGCACTTGCTTTTGGCCAAAACCCGGTATGTGTGCAGTTTGTGAGTTTGTGTCTCGTTGGTTTTAGGATCAGAGGCGTGCAGAGAAGGTGTCAAAGCGGGTGAATGCCATTCAGGAGGTAAAGGAGAGCGTCACTTTACTGACTCAGCTTCTGCAGGACTACGACAGCACGGCTACGGATCAGAGCAATGCTGAACTCATTCAGGTGAGAAAAAGACAGATGCTTTAAATCAAAAGATCACACTGTAAATCAACCTGAAGCCATCTCCATTTAAAGTATTTTTTAACGTGGCGTGTGTGCTGTGTGGTCAGGACCTGTATCAGCGCTGTGAGAAAATGAGGCCAACACTGTTCAGACTGGCAAGTGACACGGAGGACAACGACGAGGCTCTGGGTGAGCTTAGTTATTATTCATCTGCCACTGAATAGGAGCTCTCTCCTTTTTTTCCACTATCATATCACTCAAGTGATGGATGGAATGAAAAGTGAGGGAATGGTGATGGAATGAGGAAGTAAGGGAAATTTTTCAAAGGAAGCTACCAAAGAAAAAGTGAGGAAAGTAGACACAGGGACAAATGTTTGTAGTGAGTTGTATAAGAGGCTGGACACTGTGGAATGAGAAAAAAGGTTTGTACCGACTGACTCGACCTGGAAAGGGTGTGAGTCAGGTTAGGGGAAATGTCCTAACAAGTGAAGAGTGTGTTGAGAAGATGGAAGGAGTACTTTGAGGAGCTGATGAATGTAGAAAATGGGAGACAGAGAGGAGGAAGTGAGGGCAACTATGAAGAGTTGGTCCAGATGACATAATTGTGGAGGTGTAGAGATGTCTAGGAAAGAGAGAAGTGGACTTTTTGACCACACAACCCTGGACAGTGAGGTCGGATCTCAGAGGAATGGAGAAGTGTTCTTGCTTTTTCAAGAACAAGGGTGACATATAGATGGTCTAAAAAAATCTCTCTCATAGTATTTCTTTTTCTTTTTTTAAAGAAATAAAGTGATGGTTTCTATTAGCGCATGAATTTATTTTTCTTTTTTGGTTCAACAGTTTATGAGCAGTCTTTCTAACAGAGCCAGGCGATTCTGATTAAATCCAGTGATAAGGATGAGCACTTTGTCATCTTTCCTCAGCGGAGATCCTGCAGGCCAACGACAGCCTGACTCAAGTCATCAACCTGTACAAGCAGCAGGTGAAAGGGGAGATTGTAAATGGAAACAACACATTAAACACACAGAAACAAACCGGTGGGTGAAGCTTTGAACACTAAAGAAGCCAAAATGATTTTACTGTGTTACAATGAGCTGTCTAAAAGAATCTTTTAGTGAAGGCTCAACAGTACTGATGGATTTCTCACAGGAGGAGGCACAGCGCTGCTAGATCTGTCAGGATTGGACACGTCACCACAGTCGCCGCCTTCCTTCCCAGAGTTTCCCACTCCCACAGACAGCCTAAACCCTCCCTCACATGGGGACATGGGGATTA